TCATATGCCAAAAATAGATTGAGGAAATTATGTTTCAACATTCTCCCCTTTTTTGGCATATGGGACTTCGCCCAATGTGCAGGAGAATCACTCTCACACCAAACCAATCAATCCAATACTTCAGACAGTAAGTTCATCCTTTTTTATAGGCAAACATAAAGCATAGGCTACAGACAGCCTTTCGAATGAAATGGTTGTGATAACATCAATTCCACAACCACTTAACAGATAATCAAAACACAAAAACAGACCACAAGCAACAACACATTCTCCCTCTTAATATGCACATCACTCCCTCTCGAGCAACAAATGCCAAAAATGTGAGCATATGATGGAGTAGGAGGACTGAGAGTCCTCCTCTTCATCATCAAGCGCAAATCCAACTTTCGCTAGCAGACTGATGGCACGGGAGATTTTTTTCGGTGATCTCCCAAAATGATCTAGATGAAAACATGTTCCTGCATGACTTCTTGCAGCAGAAAAAAAGAAAAAAAAAAAACAATCAGTAAAGCAGCTAATGGAACCTGACTAACTTCGCCTGGAAAAATGATCTCATCTCTTTTCTTGCATTACTCCCCCTTCGTGGGAGCAGATGACAAAAATAACAAGGACATTCACTTTGTTGAAAAATGGTTGCAGCAGCAACTTCATTAGTGTCATCAACAATTTTTCAGCAATATCATCAAGATCATCAACAGGAATTTCTCTTGCTTCATAAACAATTTCAGTTGTCCCTTTTTCATAGATTTATTCTTCTTTTGTTTGTTGGGGAATGGTTGCAGCAGCAACATTGGAAATAACACCAACAACTTCGGTTGATTCGGATTCAGCTTTGTTGTAGTAGCAACTTTGCAGCATCAACAACAACTCAGCAACAATGGATTGTGCAATGAACACTCACCATTCCATCAAATCAACCATTGTCCAATCAAATCTTTTTTCAATATTTCTTCCTTTTTTTTTTATTTTTCAAAAAAATATTTCTTTCCAAATCATTTTTATTCTCCAATATTCACCACGAATATTCCAATAATCATAAATATATTGGAGAATTTATTTCAAGACCATGCATGAAACTTCAGAGAGGGCATGAACACATAGCTTAGTCTCTCCTTAGATTCTCGAATCGGTCTGCATCCAAAGGCTTTGTGAGAATGTATGCTTTATGTTCAATTGTTCTGACGTGTTGCAGATTGTCTACACCATTTTCTACCAAATCTCTAATGAAATGGTAACGTATGTCAATGTGCTTTGTCCTTCCATACTGAACAGGGTTCTTGGAGATATTAATAGCACTTGTATTGTCACATAACACAGTGAATGAATCTTGAACGATACCATAATCATGCTGCATCTGACGAATCCACAACAATCGAGCACAACAACTTTTAGCAGCTATGTATTCTGCCTCAATAGTGGATAGCGCTATAGAATTCTGTTTCTTTGAACTCTAACTCACAATATTTTCTCCGATATAAAAGCATCCACCTGTTGTGCTCTTCCTGTCATCACAACATCCAACCCTATCTGAGTCTGTGAACCCAATAAGATCAAGCCTAGACCTGTTCGAATACCATAACCCAAGTTCTGTAGATCCTTTGACATATATGAGGATTCTCTTTGCAGCCTTCAGATGAGATTCTTTAGGTGTTGATTGGAACCTTGCACAAACGCCAACATTGAAAGAAATGTCTGGGCAACTAACTGTCAAGTATAGTAGACTCTCGATTATACTTCTGTACAGTTTCTGATCAACAGTTTTCCCACCATTATCCTTAGACAACTTATTCTGTTGTCCTAAGGGTGTTCTGACAACTTTTGAATCTCGAAGTCCAAACTTCTTAATCATATTTTGAGCATATTTTGTCTGACTCAAAAAAACACCATCAGTTAGTTGTTTAACTTGTAATCCAGGAAAGTAATGAGCTGACCAATCATACTCATTTCAAATTCAGCTTCCATGAACCTCATAAATTCATTCTTCAAGGATTCTGCAGTTGATCCAAACCCGATATCATCGACATATACCTGTGCAATCATAAGATATTTTCCCTTCAGCTTGATAAACAGTCTTGTATGCTGAACCGCGAACATATTCCTTTTCAAGTAAATAATTGGACAATCCTTCATACCACGCTCTCGGGGCTTGCTTTAATCCGTAAAGAGCTTTCCTCAATATGTACACATTATTTGGATGAAAAGGGTCTTCGAATCCCTTTGGCTATTCTACATAGATCTCCTCCTTAATCCATACATTCAGAATGTTGTTTTGACATCCATTTGGAAGAGTGTAAATCCTAAGGAACACGCAATAGATACCAGCAATCTCACTGTTTTCATGCGTGCAACAGGAGCAAATGTTTCATCGTAGTTAATACCTTCAATTTGTGTGTACTCCTATGCAACTAACCTTGCCTTATTTATGGTGATATTCCCTTTTTAATATGATTTGTTCTTGAAGATCCACTTTGTTTCAATAACATTCACATCAGTTGGCCTTTCAACCAAATACCAAACTCGATTCCTTGTGAACTGATTCAACTCGTCTTGCATTGCATTAATCCAATATTCATCCTTGAAAGCCTCATTTATTGTCTTTGGCTCAACTGTAGAAACAAAACAATTCATACCAGACAGATTCTTGAAATCAATATGTTTACCTCGAGTTAATCGACCATCCTTCGTATCACTAATAACTGCATGGATTGGATGGTTGTGTGGAACTCTGGAACCATATCTTCTCACTTATGCATCAGATTCAACCTCAGCAGGTTGTTGGTTGGTTGTAGTAACATCCGTTGAACATTCTGGTTCTGACCAATCAAATCTGACAGAAATTTCTGTAGCATTATTGTCACCAATTTAAAGCAGATCATTCTAAATCTAGGGGATGTTCTGAACTCTGGAGGATTCTAAATCACTTTGACATGAGCATCATCATCATCATTTGAATGTATAGATTTCTTCTCAGAAATGGTATTATCGAATATCACATTCACATATTCCATCATCTTCTTAGTACTATTGCTGAACAATCTGTAAGCTTTTGAATTCAGAGAGTATCCCAAAAATATGCCTTTATATGATCGAGTATCAAACTTATGCAGTTGATCCCTGACTTTCATGATATAACACTTACACCCAAATGTATGAAAGTAGGAAACATTTGGTTGCTTCCCAGTCCAGATTTCATAAGTTGTCTTCTCTGTATGAGGTCTGAGATAAACTCGATTGATCACATAACAAGTTGTATTAATAGCTTCAGCCCACATATGTTTGGCAACTCCATTGGCATGCATAATCGACTTAGCCATCTCCTGTAGAGTTTGATTATTCCTCTCTACTACTCCGTTTTGTTGTAGAGTCTTTGGGGCAGAAAATTCATGTTTAATTCCCAATCCATTGCATAATACAACAAATCTTTGATTTTCAAACTCTTTTCCATGATCAGTTATTAGCCTATCTATCTTTGATTTCTTCTCATTCATGAGCTCTGTACCCAATTTTTCAAAAGCATCAAAGGCATCGCTTTTCTTCACGCAAGATATCAACCCAAGTATATCTGGAAAAGTCATCAACACAGATCAAAATATACTTCTTACCTCTAAGACTACAAACATCAACTGGACCCATGAGATCCATATGCAGCAGCTCTAGACAGTTGTTGCTAAAGCGTTGTTTCAACGACGAATGCACAACTCTCTTTTGTTTTTCTCTTGCACAGTCATCACACTTAGTACTGGGCATCTTCGAAAATCTGGATAATCCTCTGATAGCTCCAATTTTTCTGATCCTCAGCAAGTTCTGCGGATTGACATGACCCAATCTGGTGTGCCACAACATAGTCTCATCATCTTTCAATATCAATACTTCCATTCTAAGATATTCCAGCAGGTAACAGTTGTTCTTTGATCGAACACCAGTCATCACACATTTCTGTCCAGCATCATAAACTTCACATGAATCCTTAGTAAACTTCACATGCAAGTCATTATCACAGAGTCGACTAATACTTATCAAGTTCGTACTAAGTCCTTCAACAAAGTAGACTTTCGATAATCTTGAAATCCCTTTCTTTTTAAAAAATGCCATAACCACTGATCTTTCATTTTGCAACAACTTTTTCATTTAGAGTCCATTTTCTTTTTGGTTTCTTCACAAGAGAGGTAATACTATTTTCATCTTGGATGGTCTTCATGGGATGAGACCATGCAAACTCTATAGCATCAGAAACATCTTCACCTTGTAACATGAAAAAAACTTTCATTTTGTTCTTCCAACTTTGATAGCTTGTCCCATCGAACAATGAAGGTCTCGACGTTGAACGATCTTCCTTGCTCATCTTTGCAACGGTGAAAAGACCTACTCAACAACTTAGAGAACACTGATCTGATATCAAATATTAGAAGAATATGTGTTGTACCAAATCACCTTCGAACACCCATTCATGGCCAATTCCCGAAGCGTAATTATAATAGGAAAGATGAAGTGACATATGCCAAAAATTAAACTGAGGGAATTATGTTCCACCCGTTACTATTGTTATTTGTTTGTTTGTTTTTATTTTATGTTTATTTTGTTATTTCTATTACTGATTATAAATTAATCTATAAATTATATTTATATTTTAATTTAAATTTGTTTTAAAATTATATTATATTATATTATATTTTATTTTTGTTAATTTTAATTTTATTATTTATAAAGTAATTTAGTTATATTATAATTTTGTAGTTGATATCCGTAGTAAATAATTTATTTATTTAATATTTATAATTAATTAATTATAATAAAATAATTATAAATTATTATAATATTTATAAATAAGAAAATAATATTAATTATAGAATACAAATAATAAATAGTATATAATTTATTATTACAATATTTAACATATTAATAAAAAATATTATATTATAAGTTAAATTAATAAAATATTAAGTGTTATTTATAAATTTTAAAAATTATATAAAATCGAATACAGAGAGAATAGAGGGCATAGTTGGAAGACCTGGAATCCATCCCCTGCCCGTTTCATTTTTCTTCGCGTTTTCCTCTCGTTGCTGGCAATGGCATACACGTCGCCATTGCAGGGTGGGGTTTGATTTTGAGTTACACGACAAATACTATTGAGCGCGGAATCTAACACCTACTATCCAGTAGCTATTGAACATTTTGAGTTACTACGGAGAACCTTTGGCTTGGAAAATGGCTCCCAAAGTTCTTATGGTACGGTGCAAAGGAAGAACGATATAAGCTAAAATTGTTTGATATCATTTATCTGGATGTCATTTACTTTTTTTTTTTTTTTTTGGAATTGTTCTTACGCCTTCGGTTTTGTAATTTAATGAATTCAGGTGGCCGAGAAGCCAAGCATTGCTCTAGCAATTGCTTCAGTTCTGTCTGGTGGTCGAGTAAGGCTCTTATCTTGTGTGTGTGTCTCTCTCACTATGTATGTATGTATGTATGGTCTTATGATTGATTGTATGTGAGTTTGTGACATTTACTGTGTGTTCTTGTAAAGCTGCCTTATTCGGATTGATCAAGAATGTTTTATTGGAAAGGGAAAATAGAGAAGAGTGTTGTTTTGTCAGAAATTAAATTTTATGTAAATTATGGTCCTTCTATTTTGTCAGCCCATGAAATTGTTGAGCTAGTTCCATCATCTGGCATAGTTGGTAGCATTTCGAGTTTTTTGTTTGGTTTTTTATTCATTTGTTGTGGTTAGGTTTTTTCTTTTTCAGTATGTCTCTGCCTTTTGGTTATTTTTGATATCGATTTTGTTTCTGCTTCTTTGATGTGCTTTTTTTTTAATCTTGATGTTGTGTTGTTGCTTCCTTAATGGGCAGTTTATCAAATTCCAGTGTTCTAAACAATGCTATCATTCAATTGTTTTTTATATGAATTGATCTGTCTTGTTCAGTATTGCTGCAGTTAGGAATTTCACTAGAAATTACTTAATTGGTGAGATAGTGGATTATGGATGGTTTTAAAATGACCTCACTGAGCTTGAACGCTTTGATAAATATCAGGAAAGTGCATGACTTTTTGGTGTGTGTGTCTACAAAAATGTATTTTACTATTTTCTTTTGCATTTGGTCAGTCAATGTCATCAATTCATCAATATGTTTTCTTCTACCTACATATGTTTTCTTCTAGCTACATATGTTTTCTTCGACATCATCTATCCATTCATTGTCTCTCCACTTTGAATTTTTGTAGGAAATTCATTTAGAATTGACAATGATTTTAGATCATGCAAATTTAAATGGTTTATTTCATTGCAGATGTCATCTCGAAGAGGGAGTACTGAGGTCCATGAGTTTGATGGAGTGTTTCTGGGATTCTCTGTGCACTTTAAAGTGACATCCGTAATTGGACATGTTTTCAGGTTTCTAATTTACTTCAGTTAAGCGCTTGCTACTTAGATATTTTACTATCTTATAAAACGAATAACATTCAAGGGAAATTTCATGACCTTGAATGACAGCCTAATTTAAGGCAAAAGGTTGTTTGTATTAGCCACTCTAAGAATACACTTTGTCCTCAAATTTGCTATTGCTGTTTTGTTCTAAAGCTAAACATTATCTTTCAAAAAGTGGATGGTAGTGAGATTCTGACACGGGACTTTTCTGTTTATTTACTGTATATAAATGTATTATTTAAAAATTGATGAAAGAATTAATATTAATGATTAAGTTATTGTATGCAAATAATGCTTTTATATGTGTGGGTGTTTTACGTGCAATATTTCCATCCATTTGTGAGCTGGCAATGTTATTTTGGTAAAATAAATCTTTATCGTTAGAATGTTGATAAAATCTGTAGTTATTTATAGTCTTTGGATGTCCAATGTTGTATGATGATAGTTGCTTTAGGATATTTTAAAGATGAAAGTGGAAGTTTATTTTGTTCTGGTCAGTAATTTAATGTTAAAATGTGCTAATGGAATAACAAAGTGTATGGTTGTGGTAGTAACTTGGTTCGCACCTGGCAATCGCAATAAGAATTATGAAGTTTTCCATTGGAAAACAAATTTGGATCCTGCCTAAAGCTCATGTGAGTATTATATTTTTAAGGCTCAATCCTTAACTTTTATCAATATGGTAATCCAAAGAACAACTATGAATATTAGTTCAATTCCTATTTGTCATTTCCCATTACAAGACTCTTGCTTATATTATTTATGCATTTATTTTGGATGGAAAATCCATTGTAGAATAGGCTTATAAAAAATTAAAGGCTGTGAAAGTTATTCTACATATTTTGCTCCAAAAATTTCTAGGATCACAATCTTTGACTTTGATAATATCTAATTTTGGAAGTGTAGTGTAGATTTTCCTGGACGCTATCAAGATTGGAATGCCACAAATCCAATGGAGCTCTTTGAAGCACCGATTATTAAAACAGAATCAACACCAAAGGTTGAAAGTTTATTTATTTATTTCATGCTAGATGTTATCTTTGTTTTAGTTTTACAATGCTGTAAGGACTTGGGCCTTTTTTTTAATCATGGTTTGGAAATATGACATCTATATGGAATACATGAAGGTGCATACGGGTTGCTGCACAGTAAGCTGTATATAGGTAGAATTGATCTATATTTATATGTTTTCTCTCTTATGCATAATTCTAAAGTTGGACAGTAATTAAAATGTTGGAGATTAGGGATTAAAATAATATGCGCTACCGCTAAGAAAGGTATTTGTAAAATGTGGAGGTGGTTGTTTAATTTGTAACTAATTGAAGTGCCTTAACATCTGTACTTTTGATTTCTTGTGTGCACAGCTGGTTACTTTTCAACATTTAAATATATCACTTAACATATGCACTTAAATGCCAAGTGAAGATAGTCTAATATGTGTAAATGTAATGGATATTGAACAGGGTACGGTAACTAATCAGAAAGACTTATTTAGAACGAGGATGTGACATGCTATTCATCATTGTCCAGTATCCATAATGTGCACCTTGACCCATAGAAATCCTTATCTAGTTGCTGTTACCATCATAGCCTTAGGTAATTACACTAAAAAATAGAATACTAAATCCGATAGTTATCATTGCTGTCAATCCTATTGAAGATTACCAGCCACAAAATGAATATGCTTGTTGACCGACTTCAGCCAAATAGTATCGCATCCTGGGAGCCAAAACAAGTCATCTGGGTAGCCGTTGGAAAGTCAGATGGATCTTCTCCTTATCATTTCCTCCTGTTTGACACCATTTTGACCATTATTAGTACCCCTTCTGTTTTACAATTATTTGTTCTTTGTATGGGTATCCTGTACCATGTTCTTTCCTAATATTAATCTAAGGATTGTGACGACTTGAGATAGAGCACAGGTCCACAATTGGTTGGCTTTCACAGCAACAGCCAACACTCAAGGGAGTTAGCATAGTAAGAGTAATAAGTGGTACCCTTTAGTTAAAAGCAAGAGCGTTAGTAGAAGAGGCTCCTGGCTAAAGTTAGATTTGCTAATCTATTATGATCTACCTATTCTTCTAACGGAAAAGGGGGCTAGATCATGTGCATATGAGAATGATTATTTCTGTGTTAATTCCACTGAAAGTGCAAGGGTCGTGTGTGCCTTTGATGACAAGGTGCATGGCGATAATTATTAAAATTATCTCTGAGTCATGTTACTTTATTATTACAGCTCTTTTGTTCCAGTTTTGATGCTATTCGTGTTAATTTTATTTTTAATTTTGTCAACTAAATATGCAATTGCCAACCTGCTTTTGGAGGAAGGCCCATATTTGTAGGCATTTAAGCCAAGAAAGTCGTGGTTGTGGGCACTTGGTATTGTGGTTGGATTGTGATCGTGAAGGAGAAAATATATGTTTTGAAGGTATATTTTATTTATTTATTTTTTATTGGTAGCTCTAACTACTACATTTTGCAACAACATAAACTGTTTCTAGCACTATGGCACCCACAAGGAGATCTTAGGTATTGTCTGCTGAAACATAGGGTTAGATAAATATATATTCTAGATCTTCCTACCAACTTATTGAATTAGATATTTCTTGATCACTAGGTGTAATGTGGCTTTCTACTCAGATGACTATGACTCATCTGATATTATGTTTATGCATTTCAGGATAACTATCTAGGTGTGTCACTAAATCAGGGAACTGACCGAGTACATGGTTAGTTAAACGATGTAGGTTGTTTAATCTAGGGTTTGTTTACTTGATATTTTATTGTGGTTTTTGGTTTTGTTGTTTTTGAGGTGAACTAAGGGTTGGATGTGATTTTTTTTGAGTAAATTTGGGGTGTTGAATCGGAAAAACAGCCAGGAAAAAATCTTCATGTAAACAAACTCTTAGCGTTAATAAAGTAATAAAGTGTCCGAGATAATCATGTCTGGAGATAGATGACAATGAATGCATCAACGAAAAATATGGCATTTAAAAAAATTATTATTGTACTAATTTTTTATATTGACCAGTTGTCTGAATATTTGATGATCGTGCTATTAGATGATGAACGCTTCTCTAATTTTGGTTAAATTATGGTATGAAAATTTTCCTCAGCCAATTTGTTGTTGTTGTTGTATGACATTTCCCTTTTATGTATGTATATAAAATTTTCTTTCAGTCATTGAGTGCACCGGGTTCCACTCTAAAGACGGTAAAAAAGTTTATCGTGCTCGGTTTTCATCTGTGGCTGAGAAGGATATTCTGAAGGCCATGAATAACCTAGTTGAACCTAACAAGAATGAAGCATTGGCCGTGGATGCTCGCCAAGAGATTGATTTGAAAGTTGGTGTTGCCTTCACTCGATTTCAGACAAGCTATTTCAGTGGGAAATATGGGAACCTGGATTCAAGAGTTATTTCGTCAGTCTATTTACCTAATCCAATATATATATATATATATATTTATCTTTCCCGGATATTTGACATTCCTACTTTGTGCTATTTTCTCCATCAACATTTGTTGTGTAATGGATCTTGTCTTTAGATAGCATCAACTGAGATGTGGTTGTAAGATGTAAACTAAAATAATGTTGTGGTTGTAATTTCAGTTATGGACCATGCCAAACTCCCACTCTTGGCTTCTGCGTGCAACGACACCTGCAAATTACAACTTTTAAACCGGAGAAGTTTTGGGTGTTGCATCCTTACATAATGCACAAAGGTTATGAACTTAAATTAGATTGGGGACGCCGCAGGTTATTTGACTCAGATGTGAGGTCTTCTATCTGAAAGTTTCCATACTTGTTGTAGTGCATGATATCTTAACTGCTTGTAAAATTTACACATTACAGGTTACACTGATGTTCCAAAACTTTGTAAAAGACGCCGGAGTCCTAAAAGTTACTGGTATATCAGAAAAACAGGAGACAAAAGGTCGTCCAACTGGACTCAATACAGTGAACCTTCTGAAGGTCAGAACATTCGAACTGTGTATTATTTAATTTCATATGCTTTGGATTGCTTATCCTTAACTGCCAAAATAATATATATGCTTCTTTGACACTATTTTGGTTTTTGGATACATCTCGGCTTCCGTGTAAATTATGTATGCGTTCCCCATGAATATTAGAGTTTACATTGCGGCAGCAGGAAGGAAGGTGCAAACATTACCATGGTTGTGTTCACATGATAACAACATGGACCTGGCCATGTTTAAGAATGGGGTATTCTGCGTGTTGGTGTGGGTTTGTGTATCCATTGAGAATCTAGAATGTGGCTTATATGATAAACTTACAGATATGGTCGTCATAGATAAATGGAATATGATGGACAACCAAGGTGTGAAGGCTTGTGTAAGATATATTATACAAACATTCATAAGTACATTCATTTGATGCATGTCTTATAATTTTATAACATGGTACTACGCACTTAGGGGAGAGGAGGTGGTTGTAAAATCCTTTTCGCTAGCCCTCTATGTTTACCTGTCCAATTGGCACGTGAGTCTAATTTACCTTGATCGTGTGTACAATCCTTGGTGGATTTAACATTGGTGTACATTTTCCCCAAATTTGGCAAAAATATCTGCTTTAACCTATAAATATCTACTTCTAGACAACTACATGGGTGGCGTGTCTTGATTAGTGCAGGTAGCTTCAAGTGCTTTGGGGTTTGGACCACAGCTAGCTATGCAGTTGGCTGAGCGTTTGTACACACAGGGTTTCATCAGGTTTTTAACTTTCCACAGTTTTTTATCTTATTATACCATGATTTGGATTTTGAAACATCTTCCTGTTCAAAAAATGTGAGAATTCATCCAAATGATTTCAATTTTATCTGATTTCTCTATCATTATATTTCTGCTTTGCCAACATCTGTTTCAGGAATATGATATGGAATAACATGATATAAGGCGGGGCAAATTTTAAAAGAAGGAAGCATTTAAGTATTCCATATAAGTGCTTATCTATGTTCTGAATGTGTCTCGGGAATTGTGGAATTTGTTACCAGTGCTAAAATTTTCCGATCAGCCGAATCCTTTATTTTTATTTACCAAGTGTAATGTGCTTTATTTCCTTTGTTCATGTTTTTTCTTGAGATAACAGTAGTATGACAAATTAATATATTTATGCTATTACTCATGCTTCTACTCTGCCACAAACTGCATGTTGCAATGCACGTAATAGCTCTAGTCTTAGTTGCATGACGATGCACGGTGAGCATTGTTGATTTGTGCACAGAATATATTAAATATGTGAATATAGTTCTTGGTATTCCACAGCATGAGGTTACAGTGTTTACACACATATCTAAGAGTAATAATCTTATCCTACTGTCTAACATCTCCGATCATAATCTAACTTCATGTATATTAATGTTTATCTATGCAGTCAATATTTTAATTTTAATGTAATGTTTTGAATAAAAAAGTAGGCATTGAATGTGATGTTTTGTAGAAGAAAAATATATTTTTACTAAAGAATGAATAGTTAAAAAACATTGTTAAAATGCAACAAGGCTATTTAGTTGATAAATAAACTATGTATTATTACGGTGATAAAATACTTTGCAATTGGAAGACTGTTTACTGGATAGATTCTATAATATGGTGATAAAATACTTTAATTATGATGAATCAGCTTTTCTGATCCTGATTATGACATGACTTTGTTGCATATGTGGTCTTTCTTAATGGGTATAAGCTATCCCCGAACAGAGAGTACTGCATATCCCTCTTCGTTTGACTACAAAGGCACTCTTGATGCACTTGTCCGAAATCCAGTTTGGGGTGATTATGTGCGGCAGCTTCTTTCTGATGGCTATCATAAACCGCGCTCAGGGACTGATGCTGGCGATCATCCTCCAATTACTCCAATATGCTCAGCTACTGAGGATATGCTCGGACATGACATGTGGAAGCTCTATCAGTACGTTTGTCAACATTTCCTTGGAACTCTTTCTCCTGATTGCAAATACAGCAGGTAACATATTTTCATCTGCTAAATTCATCTTTGGTGCTCTAGTGCTTGTAAAAGCCGCCAACCAATCAAAAGTCATGTCACATTGCATTTTTATGTGAAAAGCTAATAAAGGTGTTGAAATATATTTTGAATAGATATATTAGCTGATATTATTTAGATTTGTCAACTAAAATATCTAATCAAAATATATTTCAATGAGTAAACATGTACGAAAGGGCCTTAACACAAAAGACCTAGGCATTTTAATGATTATCTGATGCTAAGATCATCGTTAGGATGTTTTCGTAAACCTTCATTTAAGGTTACGTCAAAATTAGCTAAATGAATTGTGTTACTAGTTCTATTTCTCATATATTTTATGGTGCATTATATGGTTCATCCAAGTATAAGAATATAATATTTTGGATAGTCATCTGGGTTATGCATAGAGTTTTTCCAAATGCATTATGGCTCGGTTGTTTGGTATCATCAGGTCAGATATGCGACTGTTAAACGACAATATTGTTTACAGTCCAGTTCTTGAGAAGTTTTAAGGAAAATTTTTCGTGTATTAATTAATTTGTACACTGCACAGGGCCGAGGCCTATATTTATAGGGGTTTCTTTTCTTCTATATGATGAATATCGACTAAGCTAAATAACGAAATATTAAAATAAAATAAATGGACATGATTCTAGCCGAAAACCCGAAATTATCCATCTCAGCCAGCTTGGATTTGAGGACAATCTGTATCGGGAAGAGTTCCAACTGATCTGATTCTTTGATAGCTTTATTAATTCGATCTGCATCATTACTAATAAATTGACCATAATGAATTTGAGGAGTTCTCATTTCCAATTTTCAGTATTTCAAATGATTTTATGTTTTGATGCAGTAAGTTTTATATTTTTCTGAATCTGAAATTTAGCTTGTGATTGAATGGATGATAACTTACTATTTTCTTGTTTTTTATCTAACATTTGTATTCTTTCTCTATCATAGTGGGATTTGGTGTCTACCTTAGCATATCCAGATAGCAGTGGTAGTTAATTTAAGTGTTTGGTCGCCATGCTTCTAAGCAGTACTTTGTGTTTCTATTCATTTGGGGCATATTGGAAAATCAGTTTGTCATAGTATATTATTTAGTAATCTTAATTACATTCTGATTTATACCTCCAGTCTCAAGTTCAAGCCAAGAGGAAATTATTGGTAGACTTAATCATATGGCACTGTATAATCATGTGGTTAAGAACGATAGAACATGGGAATTACGTTCCCAGTTGCCTCATCTTGAAATTCTCCTCGTGATTACATACTTAGACCATTTACTGTTTATATCATCTTTGTTACATATAAACTTTTACTTTTTACTGCTCAGTTTGCTACTTGGAATGGAAAGAGCAACTGTTGTACTTTGTAAATATAACAATGAATTCTTAATATGCAGAATTGGTATATTTATAGATGTCTGTAAGTAAATGGAGATCTCAGTGCAATTTCTTTCATAGTGGGAAAGATTCAATAGATGCTACTATCTACGTGTGTGTTTATTTTCACCTAGCAATTTCTTCGCTGTATGATTAAATCTGCAAATTTATTTATTTTGTTCCTCCAGAATAAATGTTGAATTTGAATCTGGTGGAGAATCATTCCACTGTGTTGGACAGCATGTCCTGGCCAAAGGGTTCACGTCCATTATGCCGTGGTTGGCAGTGACTGAGATAAATATACCTCAGTTTGCTGAAGGGCAGAAGATCGACATATCAAGAGTTGAAATAGATGAGGTATTTTATAACCTATTATATAAAATCTACAGAAGTTTTAGCTGCAACTGGAACATTAAATTCTCTTTTAACTACGAACAATGAGAACTTTGAAGCTTGTATTTATCATACAAGTGTGCGTACTAAGTACTGACCAGTAAGTACCTTAATGTCCAGGGGAGTACGAGACCCCCGGATTACCTTACTGAAAGTGAACTCATCTCATTGATGGAGAAAAATGGAATAGGGACAGATGCATCCATTCCTGTTCATATCAACAATATCTGTGAGCGCAATTTCGTACAGGTTTGTTATTCTGTGCACTGCTCCAATAGAAATCTCTTTTACATTTTTACCTGTGTATGCGAGTTGGAACACATGTTATCTTTCGTAATTCAACGGTAGGTCCAAGCTGGACGAAGACTGGTTCCCACTGCATTAGGTATCAGCTTAATAAGAGGCTACCAATGTATAGACCCAGATCTCTGCTTGCCCGACATCCGAAGTTTCATTGAGCAGCAGATTGGACTTGTAGCTAAAGGTCAAGCTGATAGCTCTCTAGTCGTGCAGCACGTGATTCAGCAATTTATGAGGAAGTTCAGTTATTTTGTGGAAAAGGTAACAAATTTGAAGTCTACTTTTTTTTTTTTTTTTTTTTTGTCGAGCTTAGGTTTTGTTTCCAGTTGCGAATTACAATGCACATCTTATGTCCCTCATTTTTTCTTTTTGGTTTAAGCCAAAGTTCAAAGAAATAATATGCTTTTTGTTTTCATATTGTACTTTGCACTTGTTTTGCTTCAGCTAGTTTAGATATATTCTGTTTATTTATGCTCCTCGTCATCATCGATGTTTCTTATGTTTCATATTTTTCTTTCCATTTTTTATTTTGATCTAATGATACTTACGTTGGTAATGAATCCCTTCTTTAATCCTCTTTCAAAGAAACATGATTCCCTTAGTACTCACGCCATTATTTATTCGATGAAACTTGATTGAACCCCGAATCTAATAATTGCACGATGAACTTGATGCAATTTTTATTTTTTATTTTTTTTTAATTTTTATGTTCGATATGGAATATTGCTTCTGTTCCTTAAATGCAAGCTTCCTGTGCGACGCAGATCGAGAACATGGACGCATTGTTCGAAGCTGAGTTCTCTCCCCTCTCCGAATCTGGCCGCGTGCTTAGCAAATGCGGTAGTTGTTTGCGCTACATGAAGCATATCTCGTCCCAGCCGTCCAGGCTATACTGCGGCACGTGCGAGGAAATTTACTACACCCCTCAAAAGGGTACAATCAAGGTATTCAAATACATATATTACGAGCACGTCGTTTGTGTTTCATGTTCTTCATTTTTGTATGACTCGTGTTTTTTCCCGAATTTCAGCTGTACAAGGAGCTTACATGCCCTCTCGATAACTTCGAGCTTCTGATCTTCTCGATGGCCGGCCCTGACGGTAAATCCTTTCCTTTCTGCCCCTACTGCTATAACAACCCTCCGTTCGAAGGCATCGATCAACTCTTTGGTTCGGGAAAATCTGCTGCGGCAGCGAACTTGGGTAAGGGAGGCGGGATGCCGTGTTTCCTCTGCCCTCACCCGACATGCCAGCACTCGATGATATCCCGAGGCGTCTGTGCTTGCCCGGAATGTGAAGGCACGCTGGTTCTCGACCCGATCAGCGCGCCGAAATGGAGGCTTTACTGCAATATGTGCAACTGTCTCGTCGCCCTTCCGGAAGGCGCTCATAAAATCTCCACGACTCGGGAGCGTTGCCCCGAGTGCGACTCGACTATCCTCGAGGTGGATTTCAATAAAAAGAACACCCCGTTGAAGGATGGGGCGACGTCTTACGCCGGCTGCATTCTTTGCGACGAGTTATTGCATTCGCTTGTGGAAATGAAGCACGGGAAGTCGTTTTTTAGACGTCGGGGAAGAGGGCGGAGGGGGAGAGGTGGAAGAGGTGGTGGTAGAAATGCCAAGAAACAAGACCCCAAAATGAGTTTCCGGGACTTCTAATCCGCTCGAAAACTTTGGATTTTCTCTATAACTTTATAACTCGCAGCCGCTATTCTTCGTGTGGATTTCTAGAAGTTTTGATGGCACAGTAAGTAATAGAGGGAGACTGTATGCTGACAACAGTTACCTTTTTTTGTAAGGGTATTTCTGAACTGGTTTTACAACACACCCGCACACAAATAACGTGGTAAGTAACGAAGCTGATTGATTTTATGTTAAAATGAATTTTTATAAAAATATTTAGTTTGGTTTTATCAAATTGAGCTAAATTTTCTGTAGGAGGTTTTTATTTAACTGTATTTGTGCTTTTTAGAATATGGGCAAAAATTCATTAAAATTTATTCGCCAGTTTGGATATTTTTAGATCAAATACCATTAAATCCGAGCGTTAGACGCAAAGTTTTTGAAACCACACAAAAGAGTTGAAGGCAATTGAAAATTTTGGCGCAATTTAATGAAATTACGATTTTATGCAATTTAGTCAAAATATTTTAATTGTATAGCAAAATAAATACAGAACAATAGAGTATGCATGTGAAATATTTTTTTGCAATTTTCCCTATAGAAAGACAACCTCAATGACATAGTTTGCAAACTATTGCATTTAATTGAGAATTTATTGAGAGTATATTTGGAAACCTACCAATGGCACTTTAGAAATTAGAAGCAGTACATGTATGTATGGTTGCCGCTAACCTTGCCAAGAAGATAACGGCGGGGTGTCGGCTTGTATCCAGGTAGTCGACATCAAGGGATGCCGATCTCCCTTCACAAGATCAGCCAACGAGCACAACTCATTCATCTCTTCCCGAGTTAGTTTCACAGAGAGAGCTCCGATGTTTTGGTTCAAGTTTGGGATCTTGGTTGTACCCGGGATAGGGCACACGTCGTCTCCTTGGTGGTGAAGCCATGCCAATGCTAGTTGAGACGGAGTGCATCCTTTTCTTGTCGCCATTTCTGCCACACGTTCGTACACCACCGTGTTGTTCTCGAGATTTTTGCCCTGGAACCTCGGATGGATCTACAAGATCGAATGCAATAAGCATCATGCTAATTAATTAAATTAATCAAGTCAACACATAATAATATTATGCGCATCAGATCAAACAACTATTCAAATTTAATTTTTTATTGTAAAAAAACCACGAACAAACATACCCTAAATAGCATATAACTACGTACTATCAATTCATAATATGTAGTGTGTTGTACTAATTAATACTCCCTCCGTCCCAGAAGAAGCTTCTTGTTGGAAGTTGACACGAGAATTAAGGAATAATAGTATTTAATTGAAAAGTGGATATAAAATAGAACGTAAAAGACTAAAATGTCCTTACTTTTTGAAGGATTTTAAAAAGTAAATTAGAGTAATAAATAGGGATAGTTTGGAAAAGTACGAATAATTTTGTTATAAAGTGGGGACCACGATTACTAAATAAGGAAACAAGACAATTGTTTTGGGACGGACGAAAATGGAAAAACAAAGACAACTCTTCTGGTATGGAGGGAGTATATGACATGAGCTATTAATTTATATAATTTTATGCTGAAATTAAATATTATATATGTTGTCTATTGACTATACTATTATCCCGTGCTGGTTAACTCTAATCGACATCTTAATGGCCACCAAACTGACGAATATAGGCTATGTTTATTTTGGTTTTCATCTTTATTTTTGCACTACAAATTTACAATTCAGTACACGTAAGTTTGTCCCCAAAATAGCTTCTAAATAAAACCTACACATGCACAATTAGAATCAAAATTTTTGGTTAAGGTTTGAAAGGATTAAGATATGCGCCAACCTTGCGGATGTCGTTGTCTAGCAAGTTCTGAGCCACGTTTGGACCCGATGAAAAGAAGCCGCGCCCAAGGGGACTATAAGGAACGATTCCAATGCCGAGTTCTCTGAAATTCATTACACAATCAGAACATAATCTAAAAGAAAATAACAAATGTTTTAAGGAAAAAAAAAAAATATCCATACCGACATGTCGGAACTAGCTCTTCTTCTATATCTCTTGCCCACAAAGACCACTCATTTTGAACAGCAGTTATCGGGTGAACAGCATGAGCTCTTCTGATTGTCGAAGCAGAGGCTTCGGAGAGGCCAATGTACTTTATTTTTCCCTCTTCGACAAGTTTTTTAAGTTCTCCCATCTTGTCGAGCATAAAATCAGAGACTATTGCATCAAGAAACTCAACTAGGGGTCCAAAAAGGTAGGCACAACCGCACAAGATACAGTGAGAAACCAATAGGATGCAAACCAACCATTTCAATTTTCTTAAAATGAATCATTCCCAATAAAAATAAATTATTTCCTTTCACAAAAAATCACATCAAAATATTGTTGAAACTATATATATCATGGTCGCCAAACAAGAAAATCAACAATCTTAGGATTATATCTCTTACAAAATATCACATCAAAATAAGAATCAAATGTAAATCATGGTCGCCAAACAAGAAAATCAACAATCTTATGAATATATAAGTGAGTACTCACACTATTTCCCCTCACAATATATTAGATAAAAATACTATTCCCTCCATCCCGCTGCAAGGTTGTCATTTGGTTTTTGCGTCATTATACTTATATCATTGCGACACTGAATATTTGAATAATTTACTCTACAAATATCATTGTATTCGTATTATAAGAGACTAGACGTATTTTTGTGTCATTTTCTCTTGATTTATACTACGTATTGATATAATAATTAATATTCAACCTTGCAGTTTAACGGAGGGAGTATATAAATTAAAATCAAATACTCCTGTAAAACAAGAAAATCAATAGTTGTATGCATATCTGAGGAGTACTCACAGTGACTTCGATGGGCACACGAGTATCAATCCGATGAGCATAATAGAGATCGATGCAATCAACATCGAGGCGCTTCAAGCTAGCCTCGCATGAAGCTCTCACGTATTCGGGGCGACCATTTATCTCCAACTCCCATTTCTCATTCTTTGATATTCCAAACTTGGTAGCTATTTCCACTTTTTCTCTCATTCCCCCTCCTTTCAAAGCCTACATTGATGATGAAAACTGAAGTAGTTATGCTATGCAATGCATTTTGATCTATCTAACCAGTTTCAATTTCCATATCCAACTTTCAACCATGGAAAACTACTGATAGAATGAACAAAAGCTTTTTATATTCAAAATAAATAGCTAGTAATAGAGTGAGTACTGAGTAGAGTTAGGGCTAGAAAGCAAGCAACCTTGCCGACGAGAATCTCGTTGTGGTAGGGGCCGTAGGCGTCGGAAGTATCGAGAAACGTGACGCCGGCGGAGTTGATGGCGTGGCGGATGAGTTCAATCATCTCCGATTCGGGCTTGGGCGGGCCGTAGCTGCCAGTCATCGCCGCGCATCCTAGCCCCTGTTTGGAGACCTCCAGCCCCTGCCCTAGCTTGATTCTCGCCACATTCGCCATGAAGTGATGATTCGACTGATTGATTAATGAGCTTGGATAGGATAGGAATGCGATGCGAGCGAGTTACTTTGTTGCCTGCTCTCATTTGTCGGCTGTCGCCTTCTTAAATTAAATCAGCGTGACCGACTACCGCCGATTTCTATTTCGGTCGCCACGCTAGCCATGATATTGACGCCATTCTTCCAAGAATTCTTCTCGAAATTTTGAATTTTTTTTGAATCATTCAAAATATAAAAATAATAAATATTTAATAAAATCTTATAAATATGTTACTCCCAAATATTATCGGGCTTTCGGAGTTATTTGTTATTTTCAAATATTTTTGAACCTCCGGAGGTGACTAGCGGCCCAGTTTGGAAGAGTAGATAAGCCGATCCAAACAGCTCCAATTTAATATAGACGACAAAGATATTAAGAGAGTGAGTAATTTAATATAGATGATGAAGATATTAAGGGAGTGAGTGAAAGTTTCCTAAACCACTAGAATTGGGAATACAAAATATTATGAAAAAAAAATAATGAAAGAGTAGATGAAGTGAGGATTACCTTAATTCATACTCCCTCCGTCCCACGTACCGTGTCTGTGTCTGCTACACTGTAGATACGATATTTTAAGAGGGATGTAATTAGTAAATAATTAAGAATGTATTAGTAAAAATAATTATCCGATAATATAAATAATTATAAATTAAGATTAAGATAACTAATTAGTTTAATTAAAATAAAAAAATAAAATAAAATTAGAAAGTTTAAAATGAGATTAAAGTGTGTAATCATTTTCCAAAAAATAAAAGTGATATGGTACGTGAGACGGACGGAAACGGCAACATGGACATGGTACGTGGGACGGAGGAAGTATATTAATATATATATATATATCACCCAGGAGGAGAGAAAAAGAGGACACCCATCCGTCCAAGACCAAAATAATTTCATTTTATTTCCTTTTGCTTTTATTTTATTTATGTTTATGAGCTTAAATTCATATTTTATTTTTCTAAACATTTAAATTTATTTTTATTTACTTTCCCTTATGTCTACTTTGCTCCCATATTGCAATATTTTTTCAATTCGAGTCGTACTATATTCAGTCTATTGTCGGGCCATTGTTCTACGAATATTTTTGTTCGGAGGTGTTGGCGATTCAATATCCGACTGCGAGATTAGCCCGAGTTCTTTCTTGAGGAGGTCGGAGAACCCAATTTATGTCGATCAGCTGGCCTAATCTATTGGGCCGTCATCGACGAATTTCAGCGACAATAGATTGGCACGCCAAAGGGGACTCCAACGAGTCTCGCATTTTATGCAATTAAGGAATCGCGAACTACTATTTCCGGACAACACCACCATGTCGAAAGAAAAAAGAGTCGCCAGCAAAAACTTAGCGGCACATGTTTCCGAAAGAGATCACACACGATGAGTACTCTACGGCTCTGGAAGGTGTGGAAAGAATGGTGACAAGTCCGGCCAGCATTTTACAAGACCAGATCCGGAAAGAGATCCAAGCGGCACTCCACAGGTCGGCGCTGGAACTTTCCCGGTACATTACAGATGTTGTCTTAAAGCCCACCATCCGTGATGAATTCTCACGGATGAGGGACGAGAAAACGCGCAAGGGCAAGGGACCGATGTACAACCCCGAAATTGCTAACCGACAAGCGTAATGCAGGGGGGCACCACTGGATGACCTCCGGTGTCACTCCAGTATGGCAACGTGACCATACTAGCCAAATAAAATGGAGGCAGGGGCCTCCCGGGGGAGAAAGTGGCCAAAGGACCTTGGCGGTCTTTGGGGCGGGCCACCATAAGGCTGCGGGCACAACAGGGGCATCTGGGAAGCAGCGGATGTGCAGAACCCACGTCCCAATGGTGTACCAACTCTCTATTCGGTAGAATCGGCGCCCCTACATCAACCACGGATGTAAACGCTCAAGGAAACTTAATGGCCGGAGGAAGAGCAGCCGACCCTTGGGGGGCATGGTCGACGACGGCCTCAATACCTCCGTTCTCCCTATTATCCCTTGGAGTTGTTTGGGGGGCATCCGCTTCACCTTCGAACGCATCCTGGGGGGCAGCCCCACCACCTCCGGTCCCATGGGGGGCAGCTCCGTCATCGTTCGCGATTGCATGGGGCCCTAATCTACTAGCTCCGGCCTTGCCGCCTCTAGGAAGTCCTCCCTACCGGACCAGCCGCACAGTAGAGGTACGGACCTCCAAGACAGAGCCCCCTGATTCAGTTCGGTAACTTTGTTCCCCCACCGACAACACCTCCGAGAGTGCCGGTCGATAGGAACCGGATTCGTCCACCCCCGGCACACCCTTCCACAAGGGTATCAGCAACCCTTCCACCATGTTCAGCCAGTTCTGGGACAGGCCGGAGGACATGCCGAGATTGCTTGTCCGCCGCGACCGGTTATTAATCCACAGACCATCGAGGAAGCCATTCGGAGTCTGTATGGCGACCCTATTCGGCTACCCGCTAGGCCCTATTAACAACGGCTGTTTTCAAGTTGCATCAACCATCCGCTACCCCGGAATGCACGGGTTCCGGACTTCACGTTATTCTCACAAGAAGATTCACGGTGTACTATCGAGCATATCAGCCGGTTCACGGCACAATACGGAGGAGAGTTTGGGACAAACAAATGGTTTAAACTCCAATTATTTTTGTTATCTCTCACAGAGCCGTCATTTACGTAGTACGCATTTTTGCCGCCAAACTCGTGCAATACTTGGGCGGATCTCGAAAGGATATTCCATGAGCTCTTTTATAACCCGCTGACGGAGGTGACGGTGTCGGATCTAACCAACCTACGGCAGAAGCATGATGAACCGGTGAAGCAATTTTTGGAAAGATTCCGCAAGGCAGAGGGGCAGTGTCAGGTCCAGATACCTGAAAATCAAGTGGTCAATATGACCATTGATAACATAACACATCAGCTCCGAGAGAAGCTGACCCTCCAGGAGTATAACGACCTCTGACAGCTCACCGAGAAAGCAGTGAAAGTGGAACAGCTCCTCCGGGACGCCCATGCTTCCGGACATCATAAATTTGAAAATGGAACACACATAGTCCAGGTTCAAGAGAAGAATCTGGACTACTAGGACAAGTCAGAGATGAAAATCGGAACGGAGTCATTCCCAGCTCCGATCAATGCTATTGGTGTCTAACCGGCTGGGAAACAGTCTGCCCCGAGTGTTAGGCATAGTCCTAGATGACCCGCCCCGAAGAGGAATGTGCTCGAGCGGCTTAGGAGATCCATCAAACCTCCATGAAGAAACTCAGCATGGGATCATCTTTCGCCCAAATACACAGTCACCAAAGTTAGTTTAAAAAAAAATGCGAGATTTGGTGAGTAAATTTTGGTCTCTTTAGGATTCTGTGCGTGGTTTTTGAAGAACTTCATGGCACGAGAGAATAGTGATGACAAGGAATTATGTTATCAATAAGTGAAATTTAGTGCAACTGTCTTCTATTTTTTTTCTTGTTAACAAGATGGGAGAATCTAAAAAATGGGTCAAAAAGGAAAAATAAAGTATATCGGTCTCTCATAAGACTATGTTTTGAAAATTAAAAAGGTTCATGTTGTTCATCCTATAACAACAATTCAACATGCACAAAGTTAGTATGTATAGCTTCTCTTTGAAAACATACTTCTTAAAGTAAAATGTTTTTGATGCAAAAATGGATTTGAATTATATGACGTTGTGTTGTAAATTTTGTATTCATTGATGTTGCCATCCAAATGATTTATTGGAGTAGATTTGTCCAAATCATTTCCTCAATTATACTACCGGAGTAGGATTTCGACCAAAACGAGCTAGCCCACAAGAGTCTATTTTGGATTAGATGTTTTGAATGGAAAATAAGTAGGAAAAAATAGTTTACGAAGCTGTAGAACTTTCGGGTTTGTTTGTTTTGTATGTTGGTTTAGAAAAGGTATAGAAATTGCGTAGGTAATATAAAAATAATGATTGTGTAATATATTATTTGTTTTGGGAAAATATATTGGGAATTTTTATAAAAAGAACACACTATTTTTGAAACTTGTGGAAAAAAGTCTACACTTGAAGGGAATGGTTACTGTGTTAACAAGGAAAGACAGAAGTTTGAAATAAAAACATGTGTTGTCCTTTTCTATTTGTAGGTATGAGACCATGTCATGTTCTAAAATCAGTGGTAACATGTAATGTGTGAGACTATATTATGTATTGTTAGTTTATGTGTTGTATTTGTATTAAATTAATATAAAAATATGTTGTTTGTAGTAATGTTGTATGTGGTTTGTTAGCACATAATGTACTCTCAACATTGTTCAAAATTTTAAAATCCAACACACTAACAACTTCCACACTTGAGTCAATGTTCTAACACGGCTACAGTTCTTGCAGAACCATCCGAGGTTCTAGGGAAAAATTTAGAGAATAACAAAGTTGTCTACGAGCGGGTGATGGAAATGGCAACAAGCAAAGGGTGCAGTCCTTCTCAACTGGCGCTGGCGTGGGTTCACCATCAAGGAGACGATGTGTGCCCCATCCCTGGCACGACTAAGATCACCAACTTTGACCAGAATGCTGGAGCTCTTGTCGTAAAATTAAGCTCGGAGGAGGTGAATGAGCTCTGCATGTCCACAATATGGAGAAATGCAGACACCTCACCATTATCTTCTTGGCTACAAATTCATCACTGAATCAGTGCAAAAATGGTTTGTGTGGAGAATTTTTTTCAAGTTGTTCATCTTTTTTGTGTTCTAATTTGCCTGAACTTTTCTTCTAGAGTTGAGGTAATAAAGTGGAATCTTTTGTTGTGCATTGACCGTTTACATTGAATGATTGATACCTAAGTTTGTGTTTTTTGGTGTGAATTTGAATATTTTTGTTTTATTAAAATAGATATTTATCCATGTTATGGGTAAAATGATTTTTACTGATATTTTTTTTATGGACATGTATAAATATATATTTTAATAATAAAAAAACAAATTCGAACTAAACAACACAAACTTAGGTATCAATCATTCAATGTATACGGTCAGTATACACCAAAAGATTCCACTTTATTACCTCAGCTGTAGAAGAAAGGTTCAGGCAAATTTATACACAACAAAGATGAACAATTTGAAAAAAAATATTCTCCATACAAACTATTTTTGTAATGATTTAGTGATGAATTTGTTGCCAAGAAAATAATGGTGGGGTGTTTGCATTTCTCCATATTGTGGACATGGCGAAATGTCTCCATCCCTTCATTATATCAACCAAATTACAGAGCTCATTCACCTTCTCCGGGATTTATTTTGCAGCTAGAGCTCCAATTTTCTGGTCAAAGTTAATGATCTTGGTCGTTCCGGAGATGGGGCACACATCGTCTCCTTGATGGTGAACCCACGTCAGCGCCAGTTGAGAAGGACTGCACCACCAAGCATTCCATCACCCGCTCGTAGACAACTTTGTTATTCTTTAGATTTTCACCCTGGAACCTTGGATGGTTCTTCAAGAACCGTAGCAGTGTTAGAACATTGACTAAAGTGCGGAAATTGTTAGTGTGTTGAATTTTAAAATGCAGCACAATGCTGAGAGTATGTTGTGTGCCAACAAACCACATACGTCATTAATACAAACCAACACATTATTTATGTTAACTTAATACAAAATACAACATATGAATTAACAATACATGATATAGTCTCACACAGTACATATTACCATTGATTTCAACATATGACATGGTCTCATACCTACAAATATAAACGGACAACACATGCTTTTATTTAAAAAAATTGTGTTTTGTTGTCAGCACAATAACCATTCCCCTCAAGTGTAGAGTTCTTTCCACAAGTTTAAAAGATGGTGTGTTCGTTTTGTAAAAACTCTCAATACATTTTTTCCAAAAAAAATAATGTATTACACACTAATTATTTTTATATTACTTATACAATTTCCTATACATTCCTTCAAACCGAAATACAAAACAAACAAACCCCAAAATTCTATGGCTTTGTGAACTACTTTTTCCCGCTTATTTTCCATTCAAAACATCAAATCCAAAATAGATTTTTGTGGGCTAGGTCATTTTGATTGAAATCCTACTCCGGGAGTATAATTGGGGAAATGTTTAGGACATATCTATTTTTATAAATCATTTGGATGACAACATCAATCGAATACCAAATTTACAACACAATATCATATAATTCAAATCCATTTTCGCACCAATAACATTTTGATTTAAGAAGTATGTTTTCAAAGAGAAGCTATATATATGAACTTTGCGCAGGTCACCTTCTGATACCTCTTGAGCTAACTTGGGACCCAATGAAAGTAAGCCACGTCCAAGCGGACTATAAGGAACTATTCCAACACCAAGTTTCCTAAAATTTACAAGGCAATTTTCAAACATTATAATTCTCTTCCTCAATATAGAAGATATGTTATAAAAGAAAAATATCCTTACCGGCACGTAGGAACTAGTTCTTCCTCAATATCTCTAGCCCACAGTGACCATTCATTCTAAATTCCGGTTATAGGATGAAGAACATGAGCTCTTCTAATTGTCTAAGCAGAGGCTTCTAAGAGGCCGATATACTTAATTTTTCTTTCTTCGACCAGTTTCTTTAATTCTCTCATCTTGTTAACAAACATAAAAAAAAACATATGAAATATTATTAAAAAACTCCACTAGACACGAAAACCGGGCACAATATTGATTGACTCCATAATATATAGATAAATAATTGATACACATTCCTTTAAACTTAAACTTTTAAGTAAGACGGTTGCAACAAACTTCACTTATTGATAATGTAATTCTTTGTCATCACTATTCTCCCGTGCCATGAAATTCTTCAAAAACCATGCACGAAATTCTTAAAATACCAAAATTTACAAAGAAAGATTACTCATACTTTTTGCAAAAAAATCTCAATAAATTAGGGTCACGATTCACGAGACGAGCAATCAATTATCATGGCTGTAAACTTCCAATAAAGTGCTTTTAGTGTTAGTAGATAAGGAATAAGCTTGTTTCACATGCAACCCTCACATATTTTCGGTGACCATTTATCTTCATTATTTTCTCATCTCTATTCTTTACTCGCTTAGTAGCTATTTTCATTTTTTCTCTCCATCCACCTTTCAAAGCCTGCATCAATTCAAAGGAAGGCCTTAACATTGCCAAAGAAATTCATGTGTGTGGATGATTCATGTCCATCATGTTGTGAATTTATTCCCGAATCCTTTGGATTTATCGAACAAACCTTGTATACAAATACGAAATCAATTAGTAATAGTGGAAGCAATTAAATCGAATAAACCCAATACCGAATCGAAATATAAATTAAACTCCTCAAGACTAAATGAATTTTTGAAAACTAGGAAATCAAACCCAACCAAACACGCCTCTGAGTTGAATTAAACAATTAAATAAATTGAAGAAATGAACTTCCCGTTTGTCTCTGAAATTTAACCGCGACAGAAACTGAAGCCACTGTCGACGACCTCGAACAGCGACGCACGGTGACAACGGCGATCAACTTCAGCGGCTTGCTTTCACTTCAGCGTCCAATCCGGCAGTCTGCTCCGTCGCCTGGAAGCGCGCCTCCGTCGAACAATGGAGAACTCCAGTCGTCTTCTCCAATATTCCTTCTGAAAACTTCAAAAAACTCCGATCGAGTCCTTCCTTCCATTGATCTTTCACCGGAGGTTGAGGAACATCGTTTATCAGCTCAGTCCATGGTGTAAAGTGGCCCGAGATAATCACGCCTCAAGGTTGAAGGTCGGCTCGTCACTCTAAGCCACGACGCCCACCGGAATTGGCACAAGAAAAGGGTCCCGAACATCACCAGAATCGCTCGCGGTTTCTCTCCCTCTCCTTCACTCTCTGAACCGGTTATGCTCTGTCTCTTCTACTTACTCACCCATACACCTGACCCCTAAAAACCCCTTTTAAACTAACTTTTAATAACTTCTCCAAACTAAAAAACCACACACAGTTATAACCAACATAACAACCTAACAAATTGATTTAGGGTTTGATATATGGGTTTGGGTTAAAGGGTTTGGGTCGAATCCGGTGGGTCGGGCTACAGAGTAGACCAACTTATTTATTTATCGAGAGACTTATCGGGTTAGCCCTTGAACGACCATAATTCCCAACACATCTAATGCCACATTTATGTTTTAGAAATGTGAGCATACCATTTTTTACTATGAAAATAGTTAACATAGTTTGCATTAGGTTGCTATATCAATGTTGCTTCATAACTTATGATATAATTGCTAGTTTATTTTATAAATTCACAATGGGAACATTCAGTTGCTTATAAACAAAAACAGAATCACCTTGATACTAAACCAGATCGAGCCCGGGATCTTCTTGAAAATAGGAAGATCTAGGATAGACGGCCAACCTCCTGGAGAGAGCGATGTGCATGGACCAGGTGAGTAGGGATGCATAGACATGTGCATTCAGTTGCTAATAAGCATTCTTTATTTTTTATGGAATCAGATTCGTATACATTGAACGTGATTCGGATTATAATTTAGTTTAAGAAAATTATAAATTCATTAATAATGCATGTTGCGTTTTGACGGTGAAAATAAAGTATTTGACGTTGCCAAAGTAATCTCTCTTATATGAAATTTTTACTTGATGACGTAAGTGTTTATATGTGTATTTTAATTCATGTGATTATTCTTCGGCCCAAAGGCAGTCGGTAATTGACAGAATAAAATATACATCTGCAATAATATGTATGAGACGATTATATGGATTTAACTTATGTGAATAGTAAATCAGTCCAAAGATTGGTTGTTGTTTAACATTACTTATTGTCCGTATATGATTATTGCAACAAGATGACTGCTAGCAATCAATGTTATTGATCCAAAGATTTATCATTGATGTTGCACTTAGTGTCTTGGGATGAGAATACATTATTATTGAGCTTCATTATGATTCATTTGGTTGCATGAATCTTGACTTGGCATTAACAATAGACCAACCCACTCATACGGTGAAAAACACTGCATATGAAAAGCAGTTGTTCGAGAAGTGGGATAGGTCCAATGCCTAAGTCTAATGATCATTAAGCAAAGCACTCCATAAATTTTAGGAGTACAATATATGATTCCTTGTCGAAATTAAGAAACGTTTTACCAAAAGCGATAAGGCGGAAAATGCGTATTCTTCTTAAGAGTCTCATTACCATAAAGTACAACGACAAATAAAACATAAGGGAGTACATCCTGAACATGTCTAATATTACTACTAAATTGAGGGCACTTAAGTTAGACTTTTCGGAGGACATGTTTGTCCTATTAGTCTTGCTCTTGAAATTAATTTAATTTCAGTTCCTAGACACACTTGAGGGTGGATTTTGGTGTAACAACACTCATCAGTGTGTCTATGCAAGATTATTTTATTGTCGAAATCAATAGATGTTGAAAGATACATCTATATGGGTGAAGACAAGAAAGTTCAAGTTGAAGTCATGGACAATTTTAGATTATTACTGAGTACTGGTTAGTATTTGGATTTGGATGAGACATTTTTTGGTAACATCTTTAGTCAAAATTTAATTTCGATCTCTATTTTGAACAAATTCAGTTATTATTGTTTATTCGGATATAGAGTTTTGTCTCTTCCAAAATTCAAAATCGATTGGAACTAGTGCATCATTTGATAATAATAATCATTATTTACTTAATAGTCTGACTTCATATCATGAATTATTTATTGAATATATTCATATAGCTTCCATGATTGCGGATCCGCTGAGTTAATAAAAGGTTTCCACTTAAGTTCTATAGTGAACATGTTGCTTGTTTGAGTGTGGAACCATACTTTCATACTTTGGTTTAGTGGGAGCTAATTAGTAATGTTCAAATACACTAAGTTTACTTTATTTTGTATTGTAGTATTCAGTATGCACTGTGCAGTATTTAGTTTTAATTCAGTATACAGTTGTTTTGAATTAAAGTTAAGGTGGATCAGTTGGAAATAGGTATGTTAAGATCACATTACAAGAAATTTCCATGTTGTGCATCCGCACTTGATCGAATCTTAGGTTATATTAGTGTTGTGACCACTCTTCGGTCCCATTGCAAGAAATGCAGTGATGGCCACTTTGATCCGCACTGATGTGATTGATAGATAAGATTGGTAATATACATTAAAGAATCTGATAGCAAAATTTTATGAGCTCATAAGGTTATTCAGTGTACATTTACCCAAGTGGGATATTGTTGGATTAAAAATCCAATTGAGGGTTAAATGTAACTATTTGGGTTATTAGTCAGATTAAGCCTAAATTAAATGATTTATTAATTTTTTGGGCTTAGATGCATTTAGTAAGTGCAGACCTCCTATGTGCAGAAACCTGGTAACTTATTAATTAGGTGATGAGGCCAATTAGTAATAAAGGATATAAATAGGGTTGTGATCTCAGGTCTAGACGTAACATCCATTATGTTCCATACCTCATCATGGGAGTAACGGCAGAAACCCTAGCGGTTTTCTTAGGAAGGGTTGTGCCATAAGCTTGAAGAACACAAAACTCTCCATTGATATGTAGATCTGAATCCGACTATGTTGAGGAATAAGGTTAGATATGATTTGCTTTATTTTTATCTCAATTATTACAACACGGTAGATCCTGGGCTTAAGGTTAAATTCCTGATAAGTTCCAATAGGTCTTCTCAATATCTTTCGCCCACAATGACCATTCATTCTGAATTGCGGTTATTAGATTAACAACATGAGCCCTTCTTACTGTCGAAGCAAAGGCTTCGGACAAGCCAATATACTTTATTTTTCCTTATTCGACCAGTTTCTTTAATTCTCCCATCTTGTAAGGCGAAAAAATAGACAAAATTATTGTGAGAATTTTCAATATAGACACACGTAATAGGGCACACGATCAATCATAAATAACATTACAACTTACAATCCGAATAATTGGATTTAAGGGCTCAACCTATGGTCATATGAAGACGTACATTTTAACAATCAGGTAATCTAAAATTTATGTAGCTTTTTGTTGCAACAAACACAGGAATTCATAATATATCCATGCTCTAATTCTACAATAAGATTATGTTATCCTATCGGTTGTTAATATCTAAATTACACTATGATTGATTGCATAAAAATGGTCAGAATCTCCTCAAATAATGATTAAGATGTAGTTACTACACAAGCAACTTCACTAAATGAAAACCTAATTTCATAAACCACACATGGAATTCTTAAAAGACCAAAATATACAAAGAAAGGTTACCCTGTACTTCTTGCAGAAAATCCCGAAAAATGGAGATATCTATCATAAATCAGGGCCACGATTCGCAAAACAAGCAATAAATTATCATGACTGCAAACTTCCAATAAAATGCTTTTAGTGTTAGTAGATAAAGACTCACAGTGACTTCAATGGGCACACGATTCGCAAAACTTCCAATAAAATTATTTTAGTCCCGTAACTAGAGACTGTTTTAAAAATAGTCTCGTAAGTGGAAAATTTTCGCACATTTAGTCATCGATGCCTATGTGGCACCTACATAGCATACCAACGGACACATGTCGGCCAGGTCAGCGGCACATGGCAGGCACGTATCCGCCATGTGAATAATTTTTAATTTATTTTAAATATATAAAATAAACAAAATTTACAAATAAAATTTACAATATAAAAAATAAAATGAAAAATAAAATTTAAAATTTAAAAATATAAAAAATAAAATTAAAAAAATATAAAATAAAATAAAAATACAAATTATCCACGTGTCCGCCAAGTCAAGGCCATGTGGCCGATACGTGCATAATTTTTATTTTTAGTAATAAAATATAAAAAATATAATTAAAAACATGATATATAAATTATTAAAGACCACGTGGCGTTGACCCGGCGAACATGAGGATAAATTTTATTTCTTACTTTATTTTTTATGTTTTATTTTTTAAGTTTTATATTTTATATTTTAAAAAAATAAAAATAAAAATTATCCACGCGTCGGATACATGTCTGGCACATGGCGCTGACTTTGCCGACATGTGTCCGCCGAAATACCATGCAAGTGGCACATAGACATCGAAAACTAAATGTACGAAAATTTCACTTATGGAACTATTTTAGACAGTCTCCAATTACGAAATTGAAATTAAAATGATAAAGGGTCCAATTACATACTAAAAAATCAATTTACCCAAAACAAAATGAATAGTATTTCTATTTAATAGAAATATATATTAATGCAGTATATTGAATGTAAAATTAATTTTTAATACTCCCTTTCCTAGGTAATTTGTGCGTGTAACTGTAGACACGAAAAGTTAGATAAAATATGATTAGTAAGTAATTAAGAAATGTATAAGTAAAAATAATTATTGTGTAGTAAAAAGGAAATGACAAGTTATCTGGGACGGACGAAAATAGAAAATAGAGACAAATTATATGAGACGGAGGGAATATAATATAAAAATGATAAAAAGGAGTTTAATTTTTATATATTTAGAAGGAAATGTGTAAATAGATTCTACAGGTGTGTTTGGTTTTTATTTGGATTTTGAATAATATTTTTTAAAATTTGAATAGGTTTTTTGATACTATAATATAAATATATATCCGGATGATACTTTGAATTTAAATTGATTCTTGTTGGAGGTTTAGATTATGGGTTTGGTTTTTGAATAGTAATTTATTTTAAATTTAAATAATTTTTTTATGCTATATAAATAATTATTGATATGATATTTTGAATATAAAATTGATTTTTAATATAATATAAAATATAAAAAAATAAGCATTTGATTTGATATTTTTTGAGGAAAAAATCAGTGAATAAATTTAACGATATATTTGGTTGGGGTTCGGATTTTGGAATTGAGTTTTGATAGTAAAATTTTTCAATTTGAATATTTATTAAATATAAGTGAATATGTATTAATGTAACCGTGGCCAAAAGAAAGTGACATAATCGAATGGAACGGAGTTACCGATGCATGAACATAGCATAGCATAACAATAATGCTAAATACTTGCAATAAGTAAAATGAACAAGTCCGTCCGAGCCTAAACCTTGCCGAGGAGAATCTCGTTGGTTTTGGGGTCCGTATTTTTCGGAAGTATCAAGAAACGTGACACCGAAATCGACGGCATAGTAGATGAGTTGATCATCTATGAATCGGGCTTGGGCGGGCAAAAAGAAGGAAACGATAATATATATAAAAAAAAAATGAAAAAATAAAAAAGAGAGAGTGAGCCTAAGGAGAAGCCCAAATAAATATGTTCTATATGTCTCACCGGAATTGAACTATTTGATTAGGAATATGGTATTTAAGGTAAGAATGTTGATTAATAGATAATAATGAGTTATGATATTATTATATTATTTTTTATATAATTAATAATATTTATAATTTTTAAAGTAAATTTAATATATATGATTAAAGAAATTAAAATTTATGTTTAAATATTTAAAAATTATATAGTAATTAAAAAATATATGCAATATTGATATCATTTTGTAGAGAATAAAATTTTCTATAATACAAGTAAATAAAAAAAAAAATTTTGTTTGTTTATAATGAACATAAATCAATTTTTATAAAAGACGTATAGTTTTAAATATAGATACTTTTTAGGAGATATGGAAATAAAGGGATTTGAGTGAGTCATATGTCATTTATGATGTTGTATATTACGTAGTTACTTAAGTTGATTTATATTTGTTAAATATATTTTTATTTAATAATTTTTACCTAAAGAGAAATGTGTCAATTGTTACTGGATAAACAAAAATGCGACGGTACAATAAAAATAATTAAAAAAAGGTATAAAGATATGCCCAAGTGAGAGTCATAGTTCTTGCTGGTTCTGTTTTTTCTTCAACATAATTTTCACATTTTTAAAGAGTTAACATAGTAGACGAAAGAAAAGAGAAGATATACGATCGTTCGTATGCACTGACGTAGCGTCACCGCAAGCCGTGACGTCACTCACTCCCTCCCTCCCTCCTTCGGTTGTCATTGTCACTTTTGCACCCTATTTTAAGATGTTATCGGTGAGTTTGTTTTTGCTGAATAATGATTTTACTATACAATAATCAATTTTGATCTTAGTTAAAAAATTTAGATTAATTTTAGTTTCATTCAAATTGCATCGAAGATCATGTTCTTGTTAATATACCAGTGTTACTTAATTAATTCACTCGTATACTTTTCAAATAAATATAATATTATATTTATTAAAATTCATGTCCAGCCCATATAAAATATATTTTGTTTTGAACATGTATGTATCATATTAAAATATTATTTTAATAAAAAGAAAAAATAAATAAATTCACACCAAACAACGCAAACTTAAATATCAATCATTCAATGTATAACGTCAGTACACATCAAAAGATTCCACTTTATTACCTCAACCGTAAAAGAAGAGTTCAGGCAAACTAGAACACAACAAAGATGACAACTTGAAAATTTTCTCCACACAAACAATTTTTGCAATGATTCAATGATGAATTCATTGCCAAGACGACAATGGTGGGGTGATTGAGTTTTTCCATGTTGCGAACATGGCGAAATGCCTTTCTCCCTTCACTAAATCAGCTAAATTACCGAGCTCATTCACCTCCTCCGGGGTTAATTTTACGGCCAGAGCTCCGACATTCTGGTTGAAGTTGCTGATCTTGGTCGTTCCGGGGATGGGGCACACGTCGTCTCCTTGGTGGTGAACCCATGCCAACGCCAATTGAGAAGGACTGCACCCTTTGCTTGCCGCCATTTCTATCACCCGCTCGTAGACAACCTTATTATTCTCTAAATTTTCGCCCTGAAACCTCGGATGGTTCTGCAAGAACCGTAGTCATGTTAAAATATTGACAAGTGTGAAAGTTCGTGTGTTGGATTTTAAAATTGAGCACAGTGCTGAGAGCACATTGTATGAACTAATAATACATGGTATAACCTTTCATGGAATACATGTTACTATTTATTTCAGCGTATGACATGGTCTCATCTACAAATATAAACGGACAATACATACTTTTATTTAAAATAATATCTCCGTTTACTTGTCAGCACAGTAACCATTCCCCTAGAGTGTAGACTTATTTCCACAAATTTCAAGAAAACAAAATTCCACGGCTTAATAAACTATTTTTTCCTATTTATTTTTCATTCAAAACATCGAATCCAAAACAAACTCTCGTGGGCTAGCTCGTTTTGGTGGAAATCTTACCCCGGGTGTATAATTGGACAAATCTACTCCAATAAATCATTTGGATGATAACATCAATCGAATACCAAATTTCAACAAGACATTGTATAATTCAAATCCATTTTTGCATCAAGAATATTTTAATAAAAAAATGTTTTCAAAGAGAAGCTATATATACTAACCTTGCGCATGTCGCCTTCTGACAACTCCTGAATTAACTTGGGACCCGATGAAAGGAAGCCACGTCCAAGCGGACTATAAGGAACTATTCCAATACCAAGTTCCCTAAAATTTAAAAGGCAATCGGAATTTCAAACACTATAATTCTTTTCCTCAATATAGAATATTATAGAAGAAACATATCGTTACCGGCACGTAGGAACTAGTTCTTCCTCAATATCTCTTGCCCACAATGACCATTCATTCTGAATTGCTGTTATAGGATGAACTGCATGAGCTCTTCTGATTGTCGAAGCGCAGGCTTCTGAGAGGCCAATATACTTTATTTTTCCTTCTTCGACTAGTTTCTTCAATTCTCCCATCTTGTTAAGCAAAAAAAAGGCATATAACATATTATGAAAAAAATCCACTAAAGACACGGAAAACCAGGCATACTGTTGGTTCACTCTGTAATATATAAATAAATAATTGATGTTTATCTAAACTTTTAGGTGAGACAGTTGCAACAAAGTTCACTTATTGATAATGTAATTTCTTGTCATCACTATTCTCCCGTGCCATGAAATTCTTCAAAACCAGGCACAGAATTCTTAAAAGACGAAAATTTACAAAGAAAAATTACCCATACTTTTTGCAGAAAAATCTCAATAATGAAAATATCTATCATAAATCAGGTTCACGATTCACGAAACAAGCAAACAATTATCATGGTCGTAAAACTTCCAATAAAATGCTTTTAGTGTTAGTAGATAAAGACTCACAGTGACTTCAATGGGCACACGAGTGTCAATCCGATGAACATAATAGAGATCAATGCAATCGATATCAAGGCGCTTTAAGCTTGCCTCACATGCAGCCCTCACATATTCCGGGCGACCATTGATCTCCAATGCCTTCCCATCTCTGATACTTACTCCGAACTTAGTAGCTATTTCCACTTTTTCTCTCCATCCGCCTTTCAAAGCCTGCATCAATTTGAAGAAATGTCTTAACATTGCCAAAGAATTTCATGTGTGCGGATGATTCATGTCCATCCAATGCCACATTTGTTTTTTCAGAAATGTGAGCATACCATTTTGTACTATGAAAATAGTTAACTTAGTTTGCATTAGGTTGCTAAATTGGTAACACCTAGGCTATGTTCTTTATGATATTTTTTTTTTTCAATTTTTTACTATACCGTTTCATAATTGTTAAAAATAAAAAAATAAAAAAAATCTAATTCTACATACAAAGAATCACAATGAACTACTATTTCACCTAAAATACAACAAAAACAAAAATCTACAAAACATAAGTCAAACACACCCCTCTCATGTAAGAAACTTCGGCACACTAAATCGCATTGAAATTGAGTATATGAGCATTATAGGGATCATTAGCTTAATTAAAGTTTACCAAACATCTACCTACAAACTTTAGATGAATATATATGAGTTGAAAATTCCCTTTTTATACTTTCAAGAGAAGGGAGCCATTTGCTCACTTATAAACATTGAGGTTTTTTACTAGCTATATATTCTAAGATGAAAAAGTGTTTCTCCATCCAAAAACATTATTTTCAACGCCAATATTTATATATGAAATATCACATTCAACTTCTATTTTTTACTTAAAAAAAATAAATAATAATCGAAAAGAAACATGAAACACAAAAATAAAAATCGTAATAATAATAATATGCTTTTTGTATAAAACTATTACATTTATATAAATATATATAACTTCCGGTTTTTTTTTTTTTTTGTGGAGTTTATAAGGTTGTGTTTGGTTGGATTTTCTCCAAGAATTTTATTATTCTTTTTTTTTTTCGAAAATATAAAATCAAATTAATATTTTTTATAGTATATTAAAAATTAATTTTATATATAAAATTATCAAATCAAATTTTATTTATATTGCTTCAAACGGCTCAAACTAAAAAATTTTACAATTCAAAACTCAAATAAAAAAACTCAAACCCTAAACCAAAACACACCCTAAAGGTTTTTATTATTCATAATTTATTTATTTTTTAATTATCAAATCAAATAAATATTAGTATTTATTTATTATATTATACTATATCCCTCTTATATCTATGTATCCATTTATTTTTTACACATAGTTTTAAGAATGGATGTAGTAGAAATAAAAGTAAAAAAACTAAACTAACTTTAATGGTACTTGTAATGTTAAATAATAATTTACTTACTACAAAAATAAAAAAATAAAAAATATAGATATTTTGTTATGAAACGGAATAGATAAATTGTTAAGGACCCTCCACTCCATTTTTGGAGTTTATACAGTAAAAATGCAGTTGATCTACGGTAATTTTACTCCAACTATAAACTTCAATTTTTACTCTAAAAATATATTTCTATATATTCTTCTTTTATATTATTTTATATAAGTTTTCATATTTATAAATTACATCCCAACTTTAATTTATTTTTACATTAGATCCATACACATATAATTTATAAATTATTTAAAAATTACATATATAAAAATTAACATTTATAATTAATAACTATTACAAATATAATAATTTTAAATAAATAATTAAATGCTATCAATTTAAAAGTAAAATTATATATTACTTTCCAAAAACTAAAATTATATCACTTTTAAAAAATAAAATTATACATTATTTTTCAAAAATAAATAAAATTATATACAACTTTTTAAAATATAAAATTATATATCATCTACTAAAAAATTAAAATTACACAATACACCAAAAAAATACCAAAATTATAAAAAACACCACAAAAACTCCACAAAAAAAAAAAAAAGGAGTGGAGTAACCCACCCCCCATTTTTGGTACAAAATGCAGTGGGTTTGGAGATGATATAAGCGACAGAGGGAGTATTAATATTCAATTTTTGAGAATCCAAAACCCTCAAATGGATATCTTGGAAGTATCTTAAGACCCTTTCTAAAAACTTTTTACTGTAGATTTGAACAGATTCTCAATCATATCCACACGGAAGAAAGACAAACCAAATATGGAACTTTCGTCGAACACCTTGTAGGCAGGCAGGCAGGCAGATTCAATTTCATCCATAAAACTACTATCCAAAGCAAGAAAAACAAGTAAAACCAAAGTTGAATCAATTTTGGAATAATTATCGATGCAGAAACATAATATAAGTTAGATTGGAAACAACAGTAAGTAAAAGGATCGAACAAGTAAGTAACAAATTAAAGAGAAGCCTAAACCTTGCCGAGGAGAATCTCGTTGGTGTGGGGCCCGTAGACGTCGGAAGTATCGAGAAACGTGACGCCGGAGTCGACGGCGTGGTGGATGAGTTGAATCATCTCCGAATCGGGCTTGGGCGGGCCGTAGCCGGCGGACATCCCCATACACCCCAGCCCTTGCTTTGAGACCTCCAGCCCCTGCGACCCTAGCTTCATTCTAACCGCCATTGTTTAATTTGGACTGGACTGGACTTGGAGGAGATCGGATGAATTGAGGAGCTTTTAAAGAGTTGCAGAGCAGACGGACGGCAGATGAGAGAAGATAAGCGATTGTTCGTATGCGCTGACGTACATTCGCCGCAAGCCGTGACGCCACTTTATTACTTTATCTACGGTATTTTTACTTCAACCAATAAACTTTAATTTTTACTCTAAAAAAATATATTCTCTATATACTTCTTTTATATTATTTTATATAATATTTTATATTTATAAATTATATCTCAACTTTAATTATTTTTACATTATAATTCATACATATAATTTATATTTTATTTAAAAATTACATATATTAAAATTAACATTTATAATTAATAACTATTACAAATAAAATAATTTTAAATAGATAATTAAATGTTATCGAGACAAATAACTATTTAAAAGTACATATTATTTTAAAAAAATATAAAATTATATATTACTTAAAAAAATAATATTATATACTACTTTTAAAAAATAAAATTATGTATTATTTTTTTAAAAAGATAAAATTATATCACTTTTCGAAAATAAAAATTATATATTAATTTTAAAAATATAATTATCTATATTACTTTTCAAAAAATAAAATTATATATCATTTTTAAAAAAATAATATTTTTTTAAAAAAATAAAATTGTACATAATTTTTTAATATAAAAAAAAAAAAAAATTGAGTGGAGGTAGAATGGGGGGGGGGGGGAGGGGACGTGGGGGGGTTGTTTCCACACAGGTCCAATGCAGTGTCGGTATTTTCACTTTTACTCTGTACCCTTTTGTTTCGACACAGGTCCAATGCAGTGTCGGTCTAAGTACCCTTCTTTTAAGATATTAGTTTGTTTGGTAAATTTAAGGGTGTGTTTGTTCGGGGGTTCGATTTTGAGTTGAGATTTAAATAGTAAAACTTTTGAATTTGAATAGTTGTATGATGTGATATAAATAGGTGTTGATGTGATGTTTTTAATTTAAAATTAATTTTTTGTTTAATATAAAAAATAAAAAATAGATATTTGATTTGATGTTTTTGAGGAGAAAAAATTGGATAAATAGTAAATTTAAAATTCAATCTCCCAAACAAATACACCCTTAAGTGAAAAAGAAAAAAAAAAAAGAGAATGAAAAACTAGAAAATTTATAAAAAAAAAAAAAAAAAAGAAATGATCTAAGAAATACTAGTAACGTAAACAGAAAAAATAAATAAATAGATAAATAAATAAATAAAATTGTAAATTGACTTTTATTTGTTAAAATAACCACGGTTGTCTTTGAATATTAATTATTATATCAAAATTTAGTACAAATTAAAAAAAAATTATAAAAATATTTATTTAGTGTCTTACGGTACTGATAGAAGGACATCTGTAAAAAAAATTTATACAAATATAAAAATATTTTTCATACAATAACTAAAAAATAAATGTAACTCTTGGAGGCGGACGGAAGAGTATAAGATGATAAAATTATTTATTATAAATATATTATACATAAATTTAATAGTAAATAAAAAATATTAACTTAATTTTGAGGGGTGGTGAAATAATTTTTTCTAGTAAAATATTATGGCTAAGAGTTTTTTTATTATTATTTTGAAATTAAAAGAAATTGAGAAATAATTATAAATTATAAATCAAATATGTCCAAAATTTTTGCTATATTCATAGGCCAAAATAAAATCTTTTAGGGCGGCTGCGAGGACTCAAAATTGTACTACGGTATATATATTAAACTCGAGTGTAGGGTAGCGTCTGTAAAAAGAATAAAATTGCAGAGAAACGAAAATAGAGAATGAAATTGGAGAGAAATAAAATTTAGTGGAGAATGAGAATTAATTCTCTTATTTGGTAAAATAGAGAATTAAATTGAGAAATGTATAAAAAAAAATACAGTTATATGAATGGATTAAATAAGAATAAATGATTAATTGGATAAAAAAAGAGTTTTAATGAATGAAAATTCATGAAAAGTATTTTTGGTGATTTTTTTTTTTAAAAAAAATTATAAATTATATATGATGTTTTATATTTTAGTATAATTTTTTAAAGAATCGTAAAATTTAAATACTTTAACAATAAATTAAATTTGAATTTTATAAAATTAAAATAATATATTAAAAAAATATATATATAAATTAGATAGTACAAAAAAAAAAATTTTAAAAATATATATCCATATATTATTTCTCTTCATTTCTCTGCATACAGGAGAGAAATCAAAACAGAGAAATGAAAATGATTTATTTATCAAGTTTCATTTATTTGACTCAAACAAACAAGAGAAATGAGACCATTTTCATTTATCTGGCCTCATTTCTCTCTACCAAACACACCCTAGGTTCGGTTTTAAGATAAGCCTATCCAAGCTCATTAATTAAAATTTGGCTTCAACCTATTTTTTTAACTCCCTTACAATATCTTTTTTTTGTTCAGCTGTCCTATTGAAATAATTTCATTTATTTATAAATTAATAATTAACAGATAATAATTTTATTTTATTAAATATTAATATTCATAATAATTTTAAAGAACATTTGGTACAAAAATGAAAGTGCAAATAAAAGATACTCCCTCCGTCCAATTTGAAATGGATTTAATAGAGATTTTGTAATAGATTATAAAATAATAGTATTTTATTGGTTAGTGAAAGTATGTAAGAGGTTTTGATGTTTTGCCCTTTGATTTTATGTAAAAAGTAATTGTATGTGTAATGCTATATTTGGAATTTAAATAAAAGTTAAGAGTATTTTGGTATTAGTGTATAATTATTTTTACTAATAAGAAAAGTGATATTTTTGAGTTGGACATACGAAAATGATAAAAAAAAATATATATACTTTGAATTGAGACGGATAGAGTAAGTAATATATAATAGAATTGTAAAAAAAAAAATTAATAGAAAATAAAAATAGGTTCTTTCACTTGGTGGAATATAATATTCAATATAAAAATATTATAAGAAATGCACCAATATGAGTAGCTATTTGTGCATCTACACTTGATTTTGCCGACTACTCCAACTTTTAATAGCATGTCTCATCATTTTTTTTCTTCGTCTTTTCCATCTTCTTCTTGCACGAGACCAAGGTCTTATCCTCATTGTTTGCTGTGAGTTGGAGTTAAGGTGCCTTAAAAGTTGCTGACGCTTGATGGTAAAACTTGGTAAATGATGTTACGCTTGATGGGTAGTTCTTATTTTTTACCCTTTGAGTCACCTTTCAAGAGCAAAAAAGTCTCAATCTTCATCTGCCTTTCGACAGATTTGATCATCCATTCCTCTTTTGGACCACCTTTTAGAAGCAAAAAATATTCAAAGATTGTCTGCTTCTTAGCGGATTTAGCAAATTGTTCTTTCCTTTGATAGAATAACTCCTTAAGTTGGTTTTCTCATTTTCGGACTAATTGGATGTCGTCAACCACCCAGCCGTAAATCGTCCTTTGTGCGAATTTCAAATTCCTACGTGGTAAGATTGCATTCCTCCAAACTTTTGTAATTCTGTAACATCATGAAAAATGGAGACACGTTAAGAGAATAATATACATATTCGACTGAGCAAACCTCAATAAGGGGATTCATCTCCACCTCACCGGTCTCCACTTTATCATCATTTTCAATCGTTCGGAATGTCACCGAAGCTCCTCCATTTTCGAAAATATTGCCTACTGACATGCCATCCAAAGAAACTGTAAGAAAAATTGGTTTAAAATGCCACGCGATCTAGTCGGTAAACTTTTTGGAGATCATATCCTCCACATCATTTAGAGCTAATCCGCTAACTACTTAACCTACCTCATAATATTGGATGAGAATTCTTGATCAACATATTCCCTTTGGCAAAATTTAGGTTGAGTAGGTGGTGCACTGGATTCTTGTGGCGTGAACCCAATAATGTTAACCAAAGTACTATTGTAGTACTCCAATAATTTCTTTATGTTCTAACAGGCTTCAGATTCTTCATCATCATCCAAAGCCTCAACTTTAGGATCACATTCCGGTATCTTAGTGATGGAAAATTCCCCAAGAGAGTTCAAATCGAATCTAGCAAAAAAATTACCATTTGATAGAATCTGCTGAAGCCTCCATTATTGTCCTGTTTGTAGGTGCTAACGGAGGTCCTCATTTGATAGATCATATCATCACCTATGATTTGCATGTTGTGGATTTCTGTTGGTACCTTCCTAATGCAGTGTTCCACTTGTTTTGCTTGGAATCAAGGTTCACTTTATGCTTCTCAACTATTCAAACTAAAATCCCTTTCAATGGCCTAATGCCTTACCCGATCCACGTGATTATAACCTTCCAAGTTGGCTTCCAAAATTTCTATATTATGGATAAGGCCGGTGCCTTGATTTTTGATCAGCCATATTCCGGCGAAATTAATAGATATCGGCTGAAGGCAGCTCACTTGACCTTCTAGATCTAAGCCATCGTCTTCATCCTGAATTTTTTAAAAGACCATAGGATGTTGTTGCCCCCAACTTCTTGGACAGATGAAAGACTTTCTTCAACTCTAATAGCTTTTGAAGCCAATTTTGAAATTTCACCAGCCATCTATCTTCGGAATTGTTCCAAAAAATCTTCCACGGACTCTTCCAGCCTTTGGCGCAAGCTGAGAATGTCTGTGATAGTTGTCTCGGGCAATGGATAGTGGAAATGGTCATTGAAATGCATTCTCCAAATCGGTCCAACTCTGCAATGAATTAGTCCCACACTAGCACTTCCCCATAATAATTCTACTAAAGGGGATCCTATTCCAAGAATAGCCTCAGGTACACCTATTACAATTATCACCGCCCAATAACCAATTTGGTCCCGAGGCAGGGAATAACTAATTAAGCCAGTCAATACCGCCAGAACCACACATGTAACCCAATCAATTCAAGGGGTTTTTTAAATCAACCAGTAAGATATACACGAAAAACATGTAGAATCATCATTATGACTATTATACTTTTTGACCATCGATGAACTGATTGGTTGCAAGGTGTACCAATTAAAAGTTGATCCAGTTAGTGAAACAAA